CTGTAACTACTACAGTTAACATCTTTATATACATTAAACCTAAGAAAATATTTGGGTGCACTGGTGCACCCACAGAAACAAACTGGGTGCACAGCTCCAAATTTGGGTGCACTAAGGTGCACATACACCCAGTATTTCCAGCCCTGATCACATTTCGACAATCAATGGAATGGACAGCGGAACTGTGAGAAGAGATATATGACCACCGAAAAGAGGAAATCCTTTTCATGGGCCTCTTGTTTACCGCGAAATGAAAAGAAGAAGGTCGTGGAGGGGTCAAGGACAACGGGCAACCAGGTGTTTACGTGCAATTAGCTCGAGGTCAATAAGATACTTAGATAGTATCCCCTACTGATTTAGCTTGGAGATGTCCTGTTGTTTTTGGTTCATGTAAGTGGTGTTGGATGGAGGCACTTTTAAGCGAATGTGATGTTTTGTGGCAGATGCTGATACAGCTGAATTGGTTGTCAAACTAAATTAAAGTTCCAATAAGATACTAGTACTTAGATAGTATCCCCTACTGATTTACCTTGGAGATGTCCTGTTGTTTTTGTAGTTGTGTAAATGGTGTTGGATGGGGGCAGTTTTAAGCGAATGTGCTGTTTTGTGGCCAATGCTGATACAGCTGAATTGGTTGTCAAACAAAATGAAAGTGCCACAGTTTTTTTGTCAGGACTCAGGATCATATCAAGTTAGACTTATTTTGTAATTATGTGGTCTAATTGAAGACAGAATAATTGGTGACGTCCTATAATCAATTAAGAAAAAAGTTTTGCAGGTACATGTACTAGTAAGATAGTAGTGTGCCTAATTTGTATAGTTATCACATTGATTCAAAATTGAAATGGTTGGATTTTTTTGCGAAATAGGATATTTATAATATCTATATTCTTCATATTATGAAAAATAACTTTCATGCACGAAATTGTACAAATGAAAACAACAACCACCTGTGTACATCTTCCACTACCAAAATAGAAACAAACAACCCATACTGGTGAAAACATAACCTTCTTGAAGGACACTTTAGAATACAAAGTTCAAGGACAAGGATTTCAGTAGTTGACATATTTAGGTAATAATTAAATAGGTTCATGTAAACAACCACTTAGGAGAGACCTCTACTGGCCATGCAAGGCATTGCAGTTTGTCTTTCAATCATGTCGGAACTGTTCAACTGTGACATTTAATTTTCATTCCTGGAAAGGAATCAAAGTTTCTTGGTTACAGGTACTAGGTTAGTCTTACAAGTGCCTTTCCTCTGCAATTTTTATACTGGATTGTTAACTGTTTATAATATACCTTCATGCTTAGAAAATTCATCAGAATACATACGTTGTATATCTAAGATGGTAAATTAATTTTGGTTTTGTTCACTTTCTGTTTTATTTCATAGTAAGGCCACAGCAAGTAAATTTTATGGATGACATCCTCTGGACAAAACAAGAAGGCAGCAAAAAAAAAAAGGTGCCTAGATTTGAAATACACTAAGAAACGACAAATGCTTGGATGAGAGAACAACCGACAAGTTTTGTATTCATCATGAAAACCGGTGGAAGAGCAGTTGTCGTCCTGCCCCGTTTCTTTCCTTTCATCACATCTTCTATAATCTTGCGATTTGCGGCACTGTCATGACTCTTTGGTCATAGTTACAGGAAGCAGAATTTCTCGTTTTTCCGGCCCAAATCAATGCGCATGTAGACGTCATCCATAAAAATTACTTGGCATTGCCTACGGTAAAAATACACCATGACTGACATGTTTGTTTTCTCCCCCACCACTTGCATCAGTCCCACCTAGTGAAGTACCCTAGCACTGCAGGTTTTCTATCCTGGAAGACTGGTTCCAAGTGGTGGGTAGATGGCACTGAGATCTAGCACCATTTGAAATCAGTGCTTTCAGGACTAGCCCTTGCTGCTTCTGTGCAGGCTGGTATGTCAGAAATATGTGCCATGCTTCCGTGTATATACATACATGTATATCATAAAGAGCCATATATACAGGGTAGTTTGTGAGAGATTACTCGTGCAAATGATTTTTTTTGAAGAAAGAAACAATATATATTTTCCATTCTTGTTTAACATTACATGTATCTATTTCTTTTTCAGGAAATTATGGTTGAAAGTGATATCACATTAGCTAGACAGAGTATGACTGTTTTGATTGTAGAAAACTGTTTCGAAATGAAGCGTCATTTTCCCAAATTTAAAACTAACCGTACATTTGCCTTGACAACTTTCCTCATCTTCTTTATTTTGTGCACTGTTGATTGCTCTGTCAAGTTAAGATTTTTCCTGCACTTTTCTGTTTATTTCATGGGAAACTTTCTCTCTGATTCTCTAGCTTGGTGTCTTTTGACTTTATCCCTTCAAATGTGTAGTAGAAAACGGTACAAAATAAATGCATCCAAATCAAACATTCACTGACTAATGATTGGGAATACAAGACTTATCTAAATCAAAAAGTTGAGACACTCATTTTGAGATATACAAATGATGTTGAAATGTGTACTGATGCATTGTATCTTGATACCATTATTTTTGATTTATAAAGCCCACAAAAGTGTGCCTGGTGCAATAAGAAGCTTCTATTTTTCAAGTTGTTGGCAATTTCTAAATATGCAGTTTTCATTATCGCATTTTCCAATCCAACAACAATCCTACATACATTACTAGCACATCAGTAGAATGTACTGCACTTGCGTGATACCCATAATGTATTTTGCATAGCACTTTGGCAGAATGTCTCATATAAGGTTGTATTCACGCATATAAGGTTAACATCCTGTCTATAGTTTCCAAATGTTATTTCGGAAAAAAAATGTCTGCAACAGGCAAAATTCTGATGCAACGTTGACAAAAAATCCAACAAAAACCGGGAAAAATGGAGGTTTTACGCAGGCGCAGTACGTTCTGCCGAAGTGCTTAACTTACTAGTCATTAGCGACAAATGAGTATTCCGGCCTCTCTACTCTAGATCTCTTACCTCCTGGGAATTCTGTGCACGGAAGCTGATTTCAGTTGGTGCTAGATGGAAGTCGGCGTTCTAGCACCATATGAAATCAGTTATCGGTGCTCAGGCAAGCATCTGTGTCAGCCTTCTTCCAACCTTTGCCTTCTAGATGTAAAAAAAACCTCCCAATCTTGCAAATTCATCTGAACGGCACTTGCTGGGTCAGGGTTTGGAATGAAAAGTATGCAGGCCTGTTTTTCTGTCTACTTTCCCAACATTTCAGTGCAAAAGTCTGTATTGTAAATAGCTTCTTTTGATAGATTTCTTGGGTAAAAACTATTTGCAAGCTGTGCAATCATAGTTAAGTGTTGTATTAGAGTATTTAATGGCCATGTGAAACTATGTTGAATGTGACAAATTATTTGATCTTACTATCTGTCTGTTTAACTGAGTGTAAACTGAGTGTAAACCAAATATCCGATTGCATTTTACTGCAGATGATACCTGTACCCGTAATGTAAGCTCTTTCAGGAAACAATTTAGGTGTTCAACCTGCCAAATGACATATTTTTTTGCACATTGCACATTTTTTGTTCACCTGCAAAGATAGATTTCCACCGACTGGTAGATCATTGGACAAAAAAATATCCTTGCTTTTGACAGAGAAATGGACTGACAGTTTCAAACTCATGACCTTCACATGACACAGAAAATATGCGATCGTTAATTTTAAAGAAATTTTACAAAAATTCCAGAAGACTGTGTATTACTTGCATGTTACATATCAGCGGTGTTAGACCTGTACCCATCACACTTGTACTTCTTAGCATGTGGCACAGGGATGCTTAGCAGTGCAAGTGTGACAGGTATGGCGTTCCCTTCTCTACTGGACCTTCCTTACAAACCAGGTGCCAACAAGGTAAGGGTAGTGGTAGGGATGTGCATTTTGTACATCCAGAGAGGATCTGAAAATGCTGATTTAAATACATTTTGAGAAATTTTACAGGTATATTGTCAAGGAAAATTTAGGACAAGATGCATGCATGCCATCTTGTTAAAAGTGTACTAATGACTTGTTTGCTTCTAATCTTAGCCAATTTTAGCAATGTACTGTATGTGGAAAATATACTTTGCTAACATGCATGAGGGGGGGAGGTCAAATTCGGTGCCCATTTCATACAGTAGAATTCATTCTACTCATACAATGAAAGTTGAGTGAGTTACATTTGTACGTTTGTCCCAAGCTTCACACTTTTTTTCAGAGCCTAAGCTCATTATTAACGTATCCATTTCAGAATTTTTGAGAATTAGATAAAGGATGCTCTCCAGTTATCTGTCCTATGATGGTAACATTAATATTGATATGGAATTCATCTTTTAGGCTTGGGCTGTCTTAACAATTTTTTCCCTTTTCTCTTCTCCCACAGTTGAAAGAGGCCAAGCGGTTGGAAAAACTGAGTGAACAACAGAGGATTGCAGAAACAGCCAAGCAGTCCATTGGTCAGTTTTTAATTCTCACAATTCTACAGTGTTGAAATGTTTTTGTTGACTGCAGTCTTACTTACTTACCTTAAACATACTGTTGCACAGTAATTACATTATATATGTCTTAAGGCCACACCAATTTAATTTCTTGGTTAACGGATTTTTCTTGAAAAATAATAGAGCGGGCGGGCGAAAAAAAAAATAAAAACAGGCCTAGGCATCGTATTATGGCTCAAAATGGTACGTTAGGAGCCATGAAGTCAACACACCAGGCTGGTTCAAAATTTAAACAAAGAATTTTGAACTTTTAATGATACAATTGCATTGAAAGATGGAATAACTGTAACAACGAGGGTGAAAAGGACTGTTTTCAACTGTTCAGGGCAAAATATGAGCATTTTGCAGATGATTCTGGATTTTTATTTTTATTTGTAAATCAGAAAAAAATGAAGCGGCGAATCCGTTAACCAAGAAATTAAATTGGTGTGGCCTAAAGCTCAGTTTGAAAAAAAAGTCACACCCGTTTTATCTAAAAAATCCACTGATGTTGTTTATGTTCCTCAGAGATGGATAAAGCTATAGCTAGGGAGAGAAGACAACAGGAGAAGGAGCTACAACATGTTCTGCCAGAGGCGGTGCAAGTAGTGAGTTGATATTTACATTCTTACACTGACTATTTGTTTTAACATGAAGTCTGGAAAGGTACTACATCTTGGCAGAAATTCCATATGTATTTGTAGTAAGAAGCAAGTAAAGTATTATCATTATAGTAGAGTACATAAATCTGCATTTCTAACTACAACAAAGCCAAACAAATAAGTGCGTTGACCCTGTCCTTGGTGCTGAACATCATTCACACAACCATTGATCATGAAGTGCAGTTCTGTCCTTGGTGCTGAACAATTTCTATTCATACAACAGACAGATAGTTAAGGATAATCCTCTATATTTTATCATGTATAGCTACAAAACATAAATCTGTTCAAATTCATGTCTTTGTTTTCTTAGGAAGAGGACCAGGCTGCCGGCAGGACTGTTTCCTTCACAGGCCGCCCCCCTCCCGCCCCCAGGCCTCCCGACAAGGGGAAGGAACCCTATACCGGGGACAACCCTGCCTTCAAAACTAACGAAAGTAAGTTTATTCTTTTTATTTTATTTTATTTTATTGGTTCAGCTGTACAAAAGACAACCAGGGTTGCCCAACTACTAGTACATGTAGTGACGAGATTTTTTTCAAAGAGCTAACCCTAAAGACAAGAGATAACAACACATTCTGCTGACTTTCTGCAGGGATATCAGGCGCCAACCTTCTGTGGTCAATTCTTCGGGAGGAGTCGTACCAGAAACTCTTCGAACAAGACGCACGCATCGACAGAGAACTTGTGGTGAGCGCAGTTTTTCAACTGTGTTAAGCTTCAACAAAACTAGAGTGGAACTCGTTGCCACCAAGCACAGTTGGGGCATCATCACAAGAAGCTTTAAACAACTCCCACAATTAAATGTGCAAAGATTGGGTGTAATAGTTCGTTTGGTGTAATATGCTTGCCAACCTGGTGTGTTACGCTGAAGAAGGCCTGTTATACTGGCTATACCGATACAGATGCAGAACTAAGTAAGAGACACGCTTTATTTCCCCCAGATTGAGTTAGGAGCATTTTTGCTGTCCTTTCCACAAAGTTATGAAATTAAATCTGAGAACCACATTATTCTTGCAGAATGCCTACAAGGCCTTTACGAGGGAGAGACTGAAGAAACACAGGAAGCCTGGACGGCTGGCCAAACGGAGCTATCCCGCACAGGATGATGTCAGTATATTTTCTTTAGTTATATACACTCATACGACATTCACAATGATGAAGTTAAGAAAAAAACCTTAAGACTAGAAATACTGAAATATGAGAAATGCTTCGGTGGCAAGTTTTACACATGCAAAATGCTCTGCAAATTACACGATGAAAATGTTGGAGAAGTAATGTAGTTTTAAGTTTCTATGTCAAGTATGTATATTTTAGTGTAACATTGATAATGTACTTTTTTGTGCAACAATTTAAACCTTTTTCAGTCTTACTGGGAAGAACTGATTCGAGCCCAGTCACTGTTGGTCATGAGAGACAAAAAGGGCAAGGTAGAAGTTATTCCGTAAGGAAGTTGTGAAACAAGGTGGCAAGGAACAACTCTACTGTGCCTTTATATTAGCCTCTGTAGCATGCCAATTAAGAACTGGGGGTTTTGGGCGGTCTTCAGGGTCTTTGGAAGCTTTTATGTGCTATTTTCTGATTGCATATAGACAGCATAGCCGGCCTGTTTTTTGGGGCTAATCAGAAAACAGCCAAAGACCACCAAACCCCCAGTTCTATAAGCCTGCTACGGAGGCTAGCTGTGCCTGTATCTTACTGTTGGGTTCCTCTAGCTGGATATAATGGAGAGAATGGCTGAACCTGAATCTGTTTTGTGATTCTCTAACGTCTTTGTTTCAGGCATATCTTTGTTCAAGGTTCAACAAATCTGCATTAATATGAAATATGTGTTTGCTGCTTTCTGGAACATAATCATCGTATTTCTTAAAAAGCAGATTTTGCTAAATTCAAAACTCCTTAACTTAACACTATAATAACAGATTTGGTGTCTTTTGGTGGTGGTAAGGTTTCTCAAAAGTGTTGTTATTAACATGTTGTAACAACAAACAATACACAATGCAATGAATACAATGTATGTCCAGAAAAGATAGTCTCATCCTGAAGTTGATTGAAAATGAAACAGTCAAACAAATACATGTACTTTATACCTCAACGTTTGCAATTGGTATCCAAGGAAACACATTTCCATAATTCCAAGTAATCACTTATCAGTAATTGTGGGATGACCAAATAGTGATCAGCTGTGATGCTTACTTTATTACCGCTTACCAGTCCCTTGACCAGGAAATGCGGTCATAAGAATGCTTACTTTAAAAGGTCTAATCCATATTTTTAACCCATAGTTTCCAGACATGCACAGACTTCTCTCCAGCACAACCTACAAGGAGGCGAAGAAAAACCACCACAAGAGGAGTCTGATGTTCCGAGCGTCGGAGAGAAACAAGAATCGCGCTGAGATCCTCATGTTCAACAACCCGCCGCCCGATTTTAACGACACGGAAGGTTACGAAGGGCCGCTGAGGTATCATCCTTCTTGGATGGAGGATAGTCAGGTATGGGTTGCTCTCTAATTGCCCACTTTTCTGACAACTCTCTAGTGTCATTGACGAAAGGTAGTGGATGCTCCCTGAAACGTCTGACTTCTTCCAAAGTCAGATCCAGTTGCTTGAGTAACTGTTTTTGGTGTATCTTATTACCTGGATGTGTAACTTTCACCGACATGCTCTCTAATTGGTTTATGATTTGTAAAGCAGGTTTACACTTGTGTGTGTAAAATTTCCTCTACAAATGATGTACTAATACTTGCACCTACATGTTTTTTTTTCCAAAATAAACTTCCTGGTATAAAGAAAACTGCAAGTTTGTGATTTTAATGGAAAGATTGGGTGTAATATCTACTATATGATACGATTTTGAGAGAATGGAAACAATAAAATTTGTATTGATGGATCTAAGCATGCTGTACATGTACATTTATACTGATTATCAGTTCAATTCATCCTTATGGTGACGCTGTGTACTGCCTCCACAAGTTCCTGTCTTGCATGGCCGAGGACAGTGGTTATATTCACCTGATAACTGCAAAATTTGTGTTAAACTTGAATGTGTGTATGATTCTGTGTTCTATGTCTTCACATCTTGTCAATCTCTCCAGGAGGATAACTTGGACGGAAGCTGGCCGGCTCTTCTGTCCCAAGAGTCCGTATGGCGACACCTCGCCCTCGAGAAGGCCGCGGACGCCACCCAACCCAAAGTAGATGTCACCCTGTACAACTGTTGTGCAATTAAGTTAATATCTACCTTTTCATTGTCTACAGGAGGATAACTTGGACGGAAGCTGGCCAGCTCTTCTGTCTCAGGAGTCGGCACCTCGCCCTCGAGAAGCCCCCGGACACCCAACCCAAAGTAGATGTCAACCTGTACAACTGTTGAACAATAAAGTTATCTAATTTTTCACTGTTTACAGGAGGATAACTTGGATGGAAGCTGGCCGGCTCTCCTGTCCCAGGAATCCGTGTGGCGACATCTCGCGCTCGAGAAGGCCGCGGATGGCGCCCAACCCAGCCCCGACATCCCCGAGGAACCGGAGGACGACCAATCAGAGCGCAGCGCTTCGGAGCTGGGGAGGGAGATGGAGGAACAGCTGAGGATTTCTCCCGTCGAAGAACATGATGATGACGAAATCGACATCTTCTTGAAGAAGAGGTCGAGGGTCAAGAGGCCAAAGTACAGGTTAGTCCATTATTAGCGTAGTCCAGTGGTTAGCGATCCTGCCTCTGGACTAAGAGGTTGGGAGTTTGAATCCCAGCTGTTGTCGCTCACCTGACATGCACACCACTGGAAAGGGTCACAGTCCTTAGGTCCACTGTTCATTGCGCTTGTCGAAAAGAGCTAGAGGAATTTCCCTGGTAGAAGGAACCCGTAAATACTGTACGTTGCATCTCTCTTCTCTGTCATGACCATTGGAAGAATACCTCTTCAATGAGCTGAAACAATGAACCTGTAAATACTGTACATAGCACCTGTCTTCTCTGTTACAACCACTGAAAGAGTAGCTCTTCAGTGAGCTAAACTGGTTCAAGAATCTTCACTTTCACTAAATCACCTTCATTTTCACAGGTTCTTGACGGAGGAGGACGCTCGGACGGAAGGAAGGTTCCGCCTCATGTTCCAGGAGAAACGTGACCTGAAGACGGCGCCGGAACGAGTCATGGCGCAACCTCCGACGAGACAGGTGGTGACCGCCAGGAACAGGGGGTCAGACAAAAGTAAGACTAAGAGATGTTTTTGTCTTAAGAGATGTTAAAAACATTTCCAGCTGTACCCTTTGTAAATTGCACTAAATGCAATTCAAAAGACAATGGGATTATTTAATTGAAGAGCGGCTCAAGTTTCTACAGATACTGTGGTTTCAGTTTTTCTTTTTCATTTTAATGATAATTCTGGCATGCTCATTAATACCTGAGCAAAGTGATCTTTGAGGAAAGTTGTGTAAAGTGCCTTTCCCAAGAGCACAAGGTTGGTGATATGGCAGGATTGGATCCCAGGACCTCTTGGTTCTGAGCCGAATGCTCTGCTGCTATGCCACACGACCCCACCCCACCTGTGCTTTTCTTGTTTCAAAGAGTGAAGTTATCACTTTTTCCTTGCATCTACATGATCATCTTTTCTCTTTCCATTCCCAGGTTCTTCTATCCGTTCTGCGACCAAGTCCGCCCCGCCGACCCTGCTCAGTGACCAGGACGCGAGCCGCAGGACGGGCTGGCAGCCGCTGAGTCTGACCGCCGTCGCCGAGTACAAGGAACAGCGGCCAGCCATGGGGCAGGGAGAGTTCAAGTTCGGCATGCAGCCCAGATGGATCGTGGCTGATAGTGTAGCTTCGAAGTGAACCTTCTGCAGGCCTCGAAATTAACAGTGTCCCGATGGCCACTGACCACTAAAATTTAGGCTGGGACATCTGAAAAGTCACTTTGGGATATTTTTGGAACAAAAGAAAAATATAGTCAAAATCAGAATGTCAGCCCTACTTTTGTTGATCAGGCATGCGTCCCGACTTTTGGCTCAGAAAATCCCCACAAATTTCTTGTCTACTTTGAAGTATAGCTTACCTGGGAGTCAGAATGTACATGTAAGCAAATTTGACTTCAAGTTGTTGTCATACATACTTCCTGAAAGAAAGGTTCAGTTCTGACAGTTGAACCTCACTTCGGGACAATTTATTGAAAGTTATTTTCTGGGCAGTGCTGGGACAATAAGAAAAAAAAGTTAATTTTGAGGCCTGCTTCTTCCCTGCTACACCATCAGTGTCTTCCAGAATGGCTATCTGTTGAACAAGTGAACTATCCATGTCTTCTTTGGAGTATAACCTGTCTATAGTGACCACTCAAGGCATGCAGCCCAGATGGATCGTGGCTGATAGTGTAGCTTTGAAGTGAACCAGTCAGTGTTCTCGCCAGGCCTTTTGAACATAGGAGCCCCCTATGCTGTGATTTGGACCCCCTATGCTGTAGTTTGGACCCCCTATGCTGTAACTTGGACCCCCTATGCTGTGATTTGGACCGCTATGCTGTCTTTCAACCAGCATAGGGGTGTTTTTGGGGAAGAACCTTCATAAATCTCGCAAAAAATGAAAATATAACTGTAGAATGAAGCTATAGCAAAGGGAAAACCTTAACATCATAAAATCTGTCTCAGGGGGTTAAAAGTTTCAAAATTTTTCGGCTCAATACGCGACTTGCGCTGCAGAAAGTTGCCCATCTGTACCTGACCCCTATGCTGTGAAAAAATCCTGGTGAGAACACTGTGTCTTCCCTGCTACACCATCAGTGTCTTCCAGAATGGCTCGTGCTGTGGAACCAGTGAACTATCCATGTGTTCTCATGAGTACAGTTTTAACCTGTCTATAGTGACCACTCAAGAGACTTGAAGAAGTGTTCACTTATAGACAGGGACAATGTTTTATAAAAGAATCTATTATTAAATGTATTAGGGACCATTGAAATATGGCCACTAGCACAGATTTGAACTTACTAAAGAAGACTTAAGCCTTGTGCTATAGTATAGATAATGAGAATGGCAGGCCAAAAAAGGACTGTCAAATTTCGCACAATTCTATTCACTGCAAGTTGCGCATAAGGTGGTACCATTGTGTTATGTATAGACATAGACCTTTCTTTATATCTTGTACTATTTTTTATGAGAGATTGGTATACAGAAAAGCATAAATCAAAATAGATATTATTTTTGCACATCTAGAAAAATCACATTAATGGCAATGTGAAAAGAATAAATAACATAAATTTTGCAGAGCAAAAGTGATCCTCAAAGAGGTGTATTTTCACATATTGAATGGTGCTAAATTCATTCTGTATGTTGAGTATGAAATCTAGCAATGTTGCACCCATTTTATATTTGTGTAGAGGGTGATTATATTCCTATGTTTACTTGTGCTTGTACAGAGCACTTTATGTTCAGTTTAAGGCATTCATCAGTTTTTATTAGTTAAGGAATACCGTCATATGTTGTACCAGTAATTCTTAATGTGAAATTGTATATATACAGTAATGATGGACCAAGTATGAACTATCATAATGATAATCAGACTCAAAGTCTATTGTATATGTGTATGTATCACCAACAGTACTGGCCAAGTAGATGTTGGAGAGAAAGATTGTAATGTTTTCCAATGGCTAGGCTTCCCTAAAAAAACAGCTACATGTATCATAAAGAATTACAACATCAATGAATCCAGGTAATAAATGAGATACACAAGAAACCAGTTACTCAAGTAAGTTACTCAAGCATTTTCAAAATCTATCTAGTTGCGTCTGAGTTCAGTAACTGTTTTCTGTATTAAAATCTAGCTTTCACCCGAACGTCTACTTGGAGATGCTTATACTTCAGGTGCCTTGTTATGCAGCAAAATTGGAAGTGTTGATAAATCAGACTTCTGAATGCTACATTCATGCACATTCTTCTCAAGTGAATAAAGACACGTATATTTTCTGTTGATGACATGATGTAAAATCATTTTCTTGGTATTGGTTGTCTTCATTTAAGATAATAAGAAGGGCCATGATAGTAAAAAATTTCAAAGTCAGTCTACCACCAGTCTAGTATATAATATAATCAAATATGTAGATGTCATGGTAACAGTGCATGTATAAAACCTTGAAGGACATGTTGTAACATGTTATCCTTTTACTTTTAGGGACTGTCCAAAAAGTATTGTAGGGGAGGGGAGTATGCCTAATCTTCAGTTGAATTGTAAAACAGTTACCTTGATACCTTGATACCTTGATACCGTCTACAGTCGAGTAAGGCTTCTTCCCGCCTGTCCTAAATGCATTGTAGCAAAAATCAATTAATATATTTTACCTTAGGGCTGCGTAATTTATTTTCAAAGACCTGGAGCAGGTGATGTCTTGAAGCTTTTCACACACACACACACACACCCTCCAATCATTCCTGGTCTACCCCTTTAGTATTATCATAATAAACTCTCCCTTAGCTACAAAGTTTCTTAAGAAAATTCTGGTGAATGAAAAAATCACACCATTACACTAACACCAGCCACCTAACGTTATAATAACTTACTAGTATATGTAAGAACGAACGAAGGCTTGGCCATTCAAATTATGGTCAGCCGCCATATTTTCTTGACCAGCTTCTTGACCACTTCTCTTCTAGTTCTACTCCAAAAGTAGCCGTGGCGACTCTTGACTCGGGCTTACATTGCATTACCCTCAGCAAGAGTCGTGGAAAGATCCATTGGCAGAACTGCACATTTCCCGTTGGCTGCTCGATGCTCCGTTTTTGACCCGGTTTTTTGCTGTCCCGAGCTTCCCTACAATATAACTCCACAATTGGCCGGGTTGCCGATGTTCAGATCAGCCTAAATATTCCACAGCGCGACGGGAAAGTACTAAAATAGCTAGTCGGTACATCCGCGCCGCCATTTTGGATATAGTCGGGAATGTCCGCTACCGCCGTCGGGAACGCTCGGTAGGCTTTCCGGTTATGATCGGAGAGTTTTCGGTCCCGCTTCGGTAATCGTGGCGCTACCGAGCGTTCCCGACGGCGGTAGCGGACATTCCCGACTATATCCAAAATGGCGGCGCGGATGTACCGACTAGCTATTTTAGTACTTTCCCGTCGCGCTGTGGAATATTTAGGCCGATCTGAACATCGGCAACCCGGCCAATTGTGGAGTTATATTGTAGGGAGGCTCGGGACAGCAAAAAACCGGGTCAAAAACGGAGCATCGAGCAGCCAACGGGAAATGTGCAGTTCTGCCAATGGATCTTTCCACGACTCTTGCTGAGGGTAATGCAATGTAAGCCCGAGTCAAGAGTCGCCACGGCTACTCCAAAAGCAGAGTGACAAAATTACACAATAATATGAACCTACCCGGTGGAAAAACAATACATATCTCAACAGTACGTCCTGGTAAAAATATATATCTAAACCATTCAAATGAAGCTGGAAAAGACGTTAAGGTCGCCGGTATTATTATTTTTAAACTGTCTAGACAGAGTTTTTAGTAGCTAGCTGAGGGCGGCGGCCGGCTCGAAGCTTCAGAGAGGAGCCCTTGAGTTTGCTAGCCCGATTTCTGGCGATTAAAACTCCGCTAGCTACGCGAAAACGCAACAGTAAAACGCCAAAAGGACAAGAGATAGAATCTGTACTGACCTGGCAGCCGGAGAAAAGGAGCTTATCGCACATTTGGAGGTAATTTTTGGCGCCCGGCCAGAAAAAAGTCCGATCCTGATCACTCCCCCTGACACATCTGCACACATTCCAGCTGATTCGGGTCAAAGGGCGAACACCAAATATGGTCATACTCTGAGGCTATTAAATAGTTTTTACGTACACTCAATCTTACTGTGCATCTCTGTTATATCGTTCTTAAAACTAGACAGCGAGTAAAAATTCATCAGCAATATATTTTAAAGATCATTTACAAATGTATGAATATTTTGTCATATTTTATTGCAACCAATGCTTCATAAATGTTGTATGGATAAACGTAAAACCGACATGAGGAGCCTTTTAGTGTAACTCATCCGACCCACTTCCTGAGTGGTATCAGCCAGAAGATAGAAGCAACATGGACAGAAAGTTGGTCATCCCATCTTTGTTTTTCGCGGCGATCGCCGTCATATTCGTCGCCTCTGCTGTCAAACCGTCTGACAAAGCTTCCCTGAAGATGATTATGGACTTGCTGAGGATCCCCCAAACGCTGGAAAGGTTTAAGACCGGGAACGAGGTAAGTTATAGTATTTCACGTGACACTGGTCTTGTGATGGCTACTTTTAGAATGTAAAAAATGATTTGTCTCTAAAGTCGGAAGATTATATTTGCTACCAGTTTTGAGTAAAACTTTATAGGAAAAGGGGCCATACAACAAATACTGTAACTGTTTTTTGTTGACCATAGATTTAAGGTATTGTTCAATTCTGTTGCTGTAGTCAATGAGGTTCAAAAGTGTTAAGTCAAGTGCATGACAATAAATTGTACTTGTCTATTTATAAAGATAACACAACTCTATAGTAGTAACATAGCATCTTACGCCTTTTCTGCTTTGATTCGCAAAAGACACAAATTTTAAGCTATCACTAGTATGAGACATTTTTTTATTAGTTTGTAGGTGAAATTCCAGTTAACGGTTACCCCTCCTTAATTTTTCACCGGACATTATGACTCATCTTTTGCGAGTCAGGTGATGTCTTTGTGTCAGTCTGTTTTTCACACATGCTGCAACTTCATAGGAGGTGTGATTTCAACAATGAACAACATTTTTCATAGTTTCTGCTTTCAACTGGTTACAATGTTTGCAATGTATAGAAACAAGAACATCAGTTACTAAGTTAGTTATCCTTTTAGTTTCAAGTTTGCCTATTCTACAATTTGAAGTAAAAATATGATACAAAAGCTGGTAAGTTTGAAAACTTTGTTAATTTGATATATCAGGACTTTTTAAAAGTTATATTTGTTAGATCATATTATTAGTAGAGAAATAAAAAGTATAGACGTCAGGTTTTGAAAGACTCCAACACACTGAATGCAAACAATGGCATCTTTTAGACCTTTTAGTTAGAAAAACAGGAAATACATAGTTTTTGCTCATTGAACCAGCAACCACCACTTGTGGTCTCAGGCCTTTCAAGCAAAAACCTGCTGACATGACCAATGTTCACGGAATGTCACAGTTGGTAAACCGAGGTATCTCGGCCTGTTACCATTGTACTATGTCAGACGTTGGCAAACATGTATGTCACATGGTAGTCCAGGAGAGATCTCTAAATGATACAGGGGTATCTTGAGTCCTTGGTCACGGGTCACATGCTAGACCATGAGATACATGTAGTATGAATTCTCAGCGCTGATGACAAATTACTTAAGTACCTAGTAAAAAATCATGAGGTTTAAATTACATTGTATTATGAAGACTGAAAAGGCCATGGTACAGTCATGGCGTATTTTTGAAGTCACTCTAGTACTGTACGTAAAGGTTGATGTGATATGGTTAGGGGGTTAAAGTCTTATTTATCAATTGCAAATAAACTAGGTTATCAGGTCAAGGCACTTTGTCAATCAAAGAACCTTTTAATATACATGTATGCATAAAAAAAAAGTAAATTGAGACAATTTCATGTTACTGACCCTTTTGAAACTCCTACTTAAAGTATATTCTGCATGTTTTCACAGGTTGAGTATCAAAGTCATGACCTTCGAGTTCTGAAGTTCAGCTGGCACAACTGTGGGTCAGCTGATGATCCAGTCAAGGTCAAGGACGTGACCTTGACCCCTGACCCAGTCAAACTGCCAGGTGAAGTCAAGACGGGGTTCACCGCTCAGCTCCTCAAGACTGTGGACAAACCTATCAAGGCTGCGCTGGTCATTAAGAAGAAGGTACATGTTTTTAAATGGCTTCGTATCAAATTTATCCCATCCTTCCCTCCTTTCCCTCCTTCCTTTCTTCCCTCATGTACATGTATTGATTAATAATGGCGTATATAGCACATTGTTTTATTGTTTTTGTGTATATGAAAGTAATATAGGATTAGTCTCAATGTTGTAATTTCACACTGATTTGCAGAAAAAGAAGCTAGAATTACTTTACATAGTATCTTGCACTTTAAGCGTAGTTGATCTACATTAGGATCACACATACAGAGACTTAAGTGCCTAAAGTCAATATGCTTCAGATAACATTATTTAGAGAAGTCAAAGTTTGTATAAACAGAGAATATGTCTCCTATTAAACAGTTGCTGATTTTTTGTTTTAAAGAATCAATTCGGACTTCACACCAAGATACCTGTATAGAGTAATTAAGGTCCTAGTCAAGTATGTTCTTTCTGACACCTTTACTGTTACGTTGTACGTTCTTTGGTCAGGATATCCAGACATATTCACTGCATTTTTAAGCTGCTTTATTCTATATAGTGTTAGTAACGTGTGTGCTCAACCACTGGGCCAGATTGGAAAGAGGGGGAGTCTCTAGACTTAGGTCTCTTGGAGCCTAGCTACTTAATATTCATGCCTATACTAATACAAAGGGTAGAGGGTTGCTACTGCTAGTACTAAGTCTTACTTTGTGTAACATTTACCAGGTGCTGTTTGCGTGGATCGAGGTCCCGTGTGTTGACAGCGTGGGGTCGTGTACGTACACCGACCTTTGCGCCAAGATTCCCGGCAAGCCAACGGACGCGTGTCCGCCACCACTCAGTACATACAACATCCCCTGCCACTGTCCATTCAAGGCCGTGAGTACAGGTTATTTAGTTTAGTATAATTCTCCACAAGTGTACAAGCGGAAGGGAGGGCAAAACAGGTGTATTACACTTTTACAAGTTGCCCTCCTTGACACTACAATGATACTTACCATGGATGGTAATTTATGCACCAACTATTTTCTTTGTATACAGACTTACTAGTACTTAAAATGTTTTACAAGTTTGGGTCTCATTAACCATCATGATAACTGTGCTATCTTTATTTGAAATATTGATATGCTTTTATGCTAAATGATATGCTAAATGATATGCTTTTGAATATTGTATTTTACACTAAAAAAGCATAATTGAAAACATAGTGTACTTTAGAATGTTCTATCTCAAAAGTTCAGGGTAGTGACAATTAGAATCCTGGCAAAGTGAATCTAATTCTACACAAAAGCCTCCACTCTTAGGCGCTGTTGGAAAGATTTCTCTTCTTCATATGTACCTGATTGCTTTTGATGGCAGTTCAGTACCTTGCAGCATCGCCCTCTAGTGACTCTTTCCATGTTTGCACCCAATCCAGGGGAACTACACCCTACCACCCAGCAACTTTGACCTGCCCAGCATCGGCAGCCTTCCTGAGTGGCTGGAGGAGGGAGACTACTCTGTGCAGGCCACCATCAGTTCCAACAGCACTCGACTCGCCTGCTACAGGGCGGAACTCTCACTCACTAAGTGATTAACATCAGGAGATTACAAGTGCCTTTTTCCATCAGTGTTATTCAATAACACTGGTACATGTATCTTAGGTGGTTAGAGCTGTAAGGCCTAGGAAAAAAATGTTGTGTTTCCTGCTTCAGTCCAGAAAAAAATAGGGTTGGTAGGTAGGGATTGTCTTTTTATGGGTTCACCACACCACGAAGTGGTGTGGTGAAACCATATTGCTTTTTCTGATGTTTCTTCTCCTCCTTCTCCTCCTTCTCCTTCTCCTGCCATTTTTTAAATGGATTCAGCTTCTTCATTTTAGGGCCTAAGGTCCTGAAATTTGGTATGGAGGTACAGTGGGCAAATACCCCTAGGCGTTTTTTAAATTATTGTGATACAGGCTTTTAGAATGGTTTTATTTGAGTTTTTTGGCTGTATTATAGCTAATGTATTACTGTGTTAGTGTGCCATGTTTACCACGTCTGGGCATGAGTCATTACAATGGAATGCAGGGCATCAACCAATAGGCATGCAGCTTTCCTCTATACTTCTTGCTGATTGGCTGTTGGAATTTAACTTGATTAACACCTGCACACTGAGCATTTCCACCTGCTCAGAGCATTTCTTGCTGATTGGCTGTTGGGATTTAACTTGATTAACACCTGCACAGAGTATTTCCATACTGACAGTATGTCTTTATTCAAGTGTTTTGGTAGGTATTTCAAGCTTTTCTGCTCCAGCATTGGAATGCGGGGCATGAACGTTTTTTTTTTTTTATTTTGAAAATCAACAGTTTGCATTATGCAATTAAAAATCCTAACCAATAAAGTAGGGAATAGCTATCCAACTGTTGTTTTAGTTGTATGTTACTTCATATTATAGTTATATCAATGTAAATCATTGTTTTCCCTTGTGTTTCTCATTCTTTCCCTGCCATGTGGTAAAATGTGGTGAACCCATCGCTGTATTTGCTCCAAAGCAAATATTGGCCTTTCTAGTTCTCTTTGTTTTATATGACTTAACCAACTTAAAACAACAGAGTCAATTGATAAAGTAAAACTTGCATGAGGACACTTATATTTTCAATTTTCAATGTTGTAAAACTGATTCATCACTCAGGTGTCAGAGCATGGAGCTAGAAAAGGTTGATCAGCTTGAAACTTTTATGTTCCTTGCAGGGGTCCACACAAAAGAATTCTAGTGTCGGCAGTTTTTTTCTAGGGTCAGTCCGGAAACAGGAAACACAACATTTTTTCTCTAGGCCTAAAGGTTAATGTTAGACTAGTCCACAACTTGGAGTGGAGAATTCAACACTGTGCATGTACTTTGAATAGAGATAGAAGATTTATACTAAGTGTACATGGAAGCACTTGATGCCTACAGATAATGGATTGATTGTACCTGGATACATATATCATACACATGGTACACTAGGTACACATACTGGTATTTGAGTATTATGGTAGTTCCTGGTACTTCAAACCTGCTACCTCTCAGTTTTGAAGGTCTCAAATGGGAGGCTAGATGTTGCACCTTTCTTTATTATATTTGATACATTAGACTTTGACAAAAAGACCAAACAAACTTTTCTTATACAGGTATGCCTTGAACTTTATAAAGGTACTGGCTGTTTGGATTGATGCATGTACTGTATGTAAAATACTGTGTTTACTATTGTCCAAAGTGAGAGCACTAAGTTTTCAACTTCAACTCACAACACTTGCCATTTTTATACACATATATATTAGATGTTTTCTCTATCTCTCCATGTCAAGTGTCCAAATCATGACAATAAAGACACGACTAGTTTTATGACAAGCTTGAAAATTTTTGAAATGACTGGATTTGTGAAGTTAACTTTGTAGAAATACCAAAACTGGCAAAGTAGTACTTTTCTCTTTGAACAAAGATGAAATGTAAATATGTGTAATTCCAAGGACATCATATTTGTATAATGTCCTTAGTAATTCTTATTCTGAAATGCATTTTGAATACACAAATAAAATCATCTGCACTTTAATAAGAAGTTAAACGCAAACTAGATCAAGCAATTAGAAAAGTTGCTTGTTAGAGAATGTATCCAGCTGTATTAGATTGGCATATACATGTGTACTACGTTAAGCTGTTTCATTGTAAACTTTATTGACTGACAGGAAGACTTGAAGTTAACCATTTATTGCTTGATGTGCTGATGTTTCTTTCTTTTGATTGTTTCAAGAAATTGTTACATGCTGCACATGGTTTATATTGTACTGTATGTATATTTCTGAATGTTTGACTTAGATTAATTTACATTTTACTTTTTTTTTTGCCGAGAGACTCAACATACTTTTTCACATGTAGCCAAGGAAGTGGTAATCATGTAACTCCTGCTGCATTTTGAATTTGATTTAAACCTATATGTCATAGGAATAAAGTCTGCTGGACTGAACATTATGTAAAGGCTTGTTTCCCTTTTCTATGAATATCATTAGAAGTTACAGCCGGAGAACACGATGCACTTTGTAAAGTAACCGCTGGGGGCGCTGTTGTGTGGGTTAATCAGGTAGTCACAACCAGTAACAGGTAGGTGTAACAGTTGCCGCAGGTCATTTTCGGAATTCTGTGTCTTTGCTTCTCCTGGCTTCTAACTGCTCCAGTCCTGGTCAATTTGATAGTGTTTTTTCTGGTTGGTTATGACAGTCGGACTTTTCAATAGGCGCCGCAAAGATCATCTGCTTGGAGATTACAGAATACATAACCCCACATTTGCTGCTCAAACTATTCTCTCCAGCAGACTAACTCCCCTGGCATGCTATCTCTCTATTTGGCCGATTTCTACTGTTGCCAGCCGCCTACTGAAGCCTGGTAGGGTTTAAACAAACACCACTGTTGATGTAACGTTACATTTACGCGAGTAAACGAGAGCTTAAGCGCAGAACCGATGCTTATTTGGAGTGTGAGACACGGAAGTACGCGTCGGCTGATGGAGTATCGCCATTGCACTACGGCAGCGAACTATCTTCAATTTCTACGTTCACCTTTGCATTTTACACCTTCTTCAGACCAAGTATTGCTGTGTGTTGGACTCGAAGACGACCAACTACAACATCTTTCGGAGGAAAATCAACCTGTATCATAAAGGTTTGAGAAAATTTGCTTGGGTCCGTTATCATTGATGAAAAACTTGAATATTGTCCACATGCACTTGTTCGTGTAAGTACGGGGTCAAATATATGCCACATAGCCAATTTCAACCTGCCAATCAATCAGTATATACCCCAGCCTACAATATGGATCACAGAAACACTTCACCTGGACTGTGTCATTCTTGTTTGCTATCATTAATCTCAGGAAGATTGAACGCGTTTCAGACTTTCTCAATGTAAAGCAATACTCAATATCCATATAAGTGTTGACCTTTTGATTCAGAATCTTCTGTGCACAGCTTTGCTACTACTCGTAGGTACTACATACAGGATAACATGCGACCATGGGTACAATCATATTTGCTACCGTTATGCATGCTTAATTTTTTTAGTATCGACGCCATCGAAACTAAACCACACCCTGACATGACCTTTTACGTCCCTTGGAATGTTGTTCCTGAAACCTGATGAGACTGTTTTTCAAACCCCTCCCCCCGCAACCCACACACGTGCAGTCGAGTGCAACTTAACACGAACTTAACATGAACAAAGTAATGGTAATACTCACAAAAAGTTGCTCCTAAAACGATAGCATAATAACGGTCTAATAATGACCTTCATTATAAGACCATGGGTTCTTTTTCAACCTCGATAAGACCAACTTCATGTTCCCAAAAAGGTAGTTGACAGAACACACCACAACGACGTGACAAGAGCTTCTAATCAATTCATGTCCGACGTTGTGTGTATTTTGGCGACGCTACGTACCACTTTCTTCGCTTTTAATCTCCTCTCTTGGGCTGTAGCAGGAAGTAAGGCGACATGGAGTCCCTGGTTGAAGAACTGACCTGTCCGGTCTGCCTGGAGCTGTACGAACAGCCGGTTCTCCTGCCCTGCGCACACAGCCTGTGTAAGAGGTGCGCTGGTGAAGTTTTTGCTGAGGCGGCAAGAAAACCGCCTCCGCAACCAGCTGAGCAAGGGGCGGCCAAGGTAACGTTAACACTCGGCATTCATTGAAACAATGAATCATATGTATGGAATTTGCTGAATACACAGTCATATTTAAAAACATTGAACTTGATTCTTAGATGGTAAGATATCGCGTCAAGCCATCAGGTCAATTAAGCAAACATTGCAATTGGAAGAAAATCTGGATTTACCAATGGTAGCAAATGTAAACAGAAAGACTTTACAATGGTAGTAAGTAATCTTGTGATTTCATTTACCACAAAAGGTACGGTCGCTGAACTTGTAATAACGTCTTATCTGTTTATTCCAACCGTTTTAGAGATTGTTAATGTTTTGTTAATATACCCTGTCCTGATTATTATTATTATTATTATTATCATTATTATTATTATTATTAGCCTGACTTTACTTACATTTACTTACATTTACTACCATTTGTAAATACAAATTTTCTTGTCGTGATTTTCTTTAATAAACATCTCTCGCCGCCATGTCCCCTGTAGCAGGTTCAGTGCCCCAGTTGCAGGCATAAGTTCCAGCTTCCCGAACTCGGGGTGGAAGGACTCCGCCGGAACACCACGCTACAGAACATCGTGGACCGCTACAGGGAGGCAAAGAACAACACAGCGGCCCCCAAGGCGGTTCCCTGTCAGATGTGCGACCTGGAACCGCCGGCTGAGGCTGTGAAAACCTGCCTGGTCTGCGACAACTCCTACTGCGAAACGTGTTTGACGACTTTTCATCCGATGAAGGGAGGCCTGGCCAGGCACACGCTGACTGAACCATCGGCAGCAGCTCCTAAAGTACTGATGTGTACTGAACATGTCCAAGAGAAGGTAGGGTTAGCTTTCCTCTGGAGAGTCAACATGTCAGTAGCGATACATCGGCAAGGGATGAAATCATGACAGATCTAGATTGTATCTAACAGTCCACTCCAGTATTTTTCCTGTTCGGCATTGCTTCTGTCAAATATATGATATTGTTGCAACTGAGCACTTGCTTCCATGTATATGCCTAAAATGGCTTTCTAGGTTTTTCTATCAAAGGCTTAAGCTGTATTCAACAACACTGTCGCACTATAATGTGGCGTCTTGTCTCATCAACAATTTTGATGTAATACATGTGTGTGCATTATATTTCCCTCAGGTGAACATGTACTGTGCGACAGACCAGAGTCTAGTCTGCTCTTTGTGCAAACTGGTCGGAAAACACAAGGACCACGAGGTCGCCGCAGTGTCAGACACTTTTCAACAGAAGAAGGTAAATACTAGTAACTTTATATATAAGACATTAGCATGGACATCATGGTGGCATGTACATATGGCTTGGGAGCATATTACAGAACACAGGGTATACATGATTTAGTTTTGTTGTTGTTGTTGGTTTTTTGTAGGTCTCTATTGGTGGACGTGTCGCCGGCCTGATTCAGCAAAACGCTGAAGTAGAGTGCTTCGTGGATAAGATCCAAGGGACCATGACCAAAGCTGAGGTATGAATACAACGTGTCCCTCAAGGTTGCTTTAAACTAAATTCAAAATGCTACGTATGCCAAGCATTAGATAGGTACATGTATACGTATGTCTGATTGTCCGTCTACTAGTATACATTCTGTGGACTGTCCCAAATGATATTCCTTTTCATCAAAAGTAATGATTAGCATACATTCTGTAGTTGTTTCATTCTGAGTCGTTACAATGTGCACATATATAAAGTTCTGCTACGAAAATGCTTTTCTTATTTCGATGCAGCAAAACTGTGCCGACATTCAGGAGCAGGTGGAGGCCTTCGCCCAGACTCTGACTACCGCCATCGTGAAGAGGAAAGGCATCCTGCAATTAAAGGTTGCCGTAGAGAAGGACCAGAAGCTGAGGACCCTGGGTCAGCAGCTTGACCAATGGGCAGACACCGGGACGGGCATCACAGCTGCTATTGCAGAGGCGGAGACACTTCTGAATGAAGAGGATCCTATCGCCTTTCTACAGGTACAATAATAGTAGTACTACTTTGACTTTGTACAAATAGTGTTTTTACTGTTTCATTACAGTATACTGCAGCTGTGGAATGACTTGAGACAAATATTCAGGGTACCCATCTTAGGGCCAATCAAGTGAAAAGCACAATGTTAGGAAATGTGATTTCTTTACGTGATTCATAATGGTCTTAGTTACTGTAACTTAACAAAGGATTAAGTACATGCATTGTCTTGCCTTGGCCTATATATGCTAAGGAAGATTAAATATTCGTGAATTTTCCAGTATTCAATTTATACGAGTATAAAACAATGGTTGAAATGTCATTCTAAGTGTGAATATCTTTCTTTCATTTTCCAGGCATCTAAGGCGGTAGAGGAGAGGTAAGATAATTCACTATTTACACCGTTAATACTAGTAATAAGCTATGGTTACATAGCTACCTAGACCTGTTGAGTAAACTGCACCAGTTACCGATTCATTATCTTATCTACGACATTCAGTCATTTGGCTTATCGGGAGTTTTGATTCAAAAAAATACAACGTACGTTTTTGTAGATCTGATATTTTTCTTTTGACATCGCTGGTTGACTGTGTACAGATTGATATTGTTAAATGTGGTATTTCGTACATAACATAATCAGAAAATGACCTTTGGGATTTTATTGGCAGGATTGCTGCCTTTAAGTTCCTGGAGGAACGCAAGTTGAACACCACAGACCAGTTCGTCCACAACACTCTTGGGGTCTCCGACCTGGAACAAAGGGTGTCAGCACTGGATTTTCTGCAAGGTTCGTTTGTACATTCATA